ATTCTAGGTCTGTACACAATAGAGTTTAGAAGGATGAGTGGGGGAATCACATTGAAACTTACAGGATACCGAGAGGTCTGGATATAGTGGATATGGAGATGATATTTCCACTAGTAGGACAGACGTGACCCACAGGCACAGCCTCAGGGTGAAGGGACAACCCTTTAGTATTGAGATGTGGAGGAATTTCTTAGGAGATGGATAGGTTCTTGATTGGTAAGGGGGTCAAAAATTACAGCAAAAATGCAAGCGAGTCGGGTTGAGAAACATATCAGCCATGATCGAATGGTGCAGCAGACTCAATGGACTTATGGCCTAATTCTACTCCTATATCCTATGGTCTTTATACAAATATATATAATATTTTTAATATATATTGTATATATAAAAATGACTAAGATAATAAGAGTGAACGTAGTGTAGCCAAGTTGCAGATGACGCAAAAATTAGTAGGAAGGAAAGTGGTGACAATTACACAAAAACTCTGCGAAGATATAGAGGCAGGTTAAGCGAGTGAGCAAAAACCTTTATAGATGGAACATAAACATGAGAAAATGTGATTATGCATTTGGCAAGATTAAGAGAAGATCTCAGTATTATTTAAAATGGAAAAAGACTGCAGAAAGCCACAGAACGGAGGGATCTGGGAGTCCTTACCCATGAATCATAAAAAGCTAGCATCTAAGTTCAGTAAGTTATAGAGAATGCAAGGAATGTTCGCCTTTATTTCAAAGGAAATGGAGTATAAAGATAGGCACACTTTGTTAAAACTATGCAAGGCACTATTCAGGCCACAGCTGGAGTACTGTGAACAGCTTTAGGCCCTTATCTAAGGAAACATATTCTGGCATTGGGTGCAGTCCAGACAAGGTTCAGTCAACTGATACCAGGACTGGAGGGACAGTCTTATGAGGAGCCGTTGAGTAGGTCAGGTGTGTACGCATCGAAATTTAGAAGAATGAGAGGGAGATTTATGAGAACACACAAGATTCTGAGGGGACTTGACAATGTTGATGTAGAAACAATACTTGTTTCCTCTTGTGAGAGTCTTGAGGACCAGAGGGCATAATCTCCGAATAAGGGATCACACATTTAAGTTAGAGATGAGGAATTTCTCCCCTCAGAGGATAGCGAATTTGTGGAATGCTTTATGGCAGAGGGCTGATGAGGCTGGGTCATTAAACATGTTTAAGGCTGAGACAGTCAGATTTTTAATCACTAAGGAAATCAAGGATTACAGGGTATCGGCAGAAAAGTGGAGCTAAGGATAGCGATGGCACAGTGGCTAGCACTGCCGCCTCACAGCGCAAGGACCTAGCTTCGATTCCAGCCTTGGGCAACTGTCTGCATGGAATTTGCATATTCTTCCTGTGGCTGTGTGGGTTTCTGCCGAGTGCTCCAGTTTCCTCCCACAGTCCAAAGGTGTGTAGTTTGGGTGGATTGGCTATACTAAATCACCCATAGTGTCCAGAGATGTGCAAGTGATTAGCCATGGGAAATGCAGGGTTACAGAGTGGGGTCGGGTGATGCTCTTTGGGAGGTCAGTGTGGATTCGATGAGCCAAATGGCCTGCTTCTACCCTGTAGGGATTCTATTATGATTATCAGAGCAGTAATGATCTCATTGAATGGCAAGCAGGCTCAAAAGGATGAACAGCCTACTTCTGCTTCTACATCATATGGCCATCACCTCAAAATGTATATACAACTATCTATTATTATAATGTTATGTAAAGTAAAACCTGACACCTCTACATTTCAAATCACATGGCAGATCATTACGTTATAAATAACAGTTCACAAGAGGTATAAAATTGTATATCTACTATCACCACTTGATCCAGGGGAAGAAAGCCAACATGAAAATGTTAATACTCCATGGATTCCACTTCCATATCAACATTGAAAGCAAACTTTAGGATATATTTTACAGAACAAACATTTCAAATTTACTGTGTGTTGATAAATTTATGTGAACATCACTATTACTAATCATTACATCATCTTAATCTGAGTGCTTTACTATTGAATGACACACAGCTATCTATATGTTAGCATTCTCACCAATGTTATTCTCTTAATTATTATACAGACTGGTTGATAACATATTTTCTTAAACTAAATACAAACTAGATACTCAGTCTCAAACATAGCAATACAAAAAAAACAGAGATTCAGTAAGTTTGTTTTAAAGCACAAGGTGAACATTTTTCCTGCTCTAATTCACTCACCACTGGAAGTTTTCCATGCACTTTGTACAAATTAATGAGAACAGAGATGTCCCATGGGCGGAGTGTAAGTGGATGAATTTGCTTGCCTCCACTCTCAGCTTCTATCTTCTCACTTTCTTCAACTCCAACTGCTGCCCATCCAGAACTAGAGGATGTTGACAATGACAGCACTGGGCTTGTGGCCACTTCTTCAAAATCAGTGTACATATCATCTTCGCCAAAGTAATTTTCCTTTTAAAGTAACAGGACATATGTGACAGGTGTCAGTATAGTTCAGTCAGTTACACTCCACAAAGTCAAAAGAATTATCCCACCGTATTTGTTCAATATATAAATCTATATCCCTTTTTAACTGGTCCAGAATAGAGTAGTTTTGTTGTTAAATGGTTAATAAATTATTACCTGTTTATTTGTTTTAAGTACTACCTACCCCACTTGTAAAGTATTTGGGGACTGAATGCAAAAGATTCGCTATTGCCAACTGCATAGTTTCAAGGTGGATTAAATCAATTAAATAAATCTGAATGTGCTGAAATTCTCAAAAGGTCTGGCAACATCTAAGGAAAGAGAAGTAGAATTAATGTTGCAAGTCAAATATGATTTTTCTTTATAACCCAGAGGTATATTTACCTCAAAACATTAACTGTGGTTCTCTCACCACAAACACTGTCAGGCCTGCTGAGTACATCCATCACTTCCTGCTTTCATTTCATTGCCAGTGTCTGCAGTGTTTTGCTTTTATGATTCAATTAAAGGGTGTTTCCCCAGTGCCTAGAACTTACAGCTTATGTTTCAGTCAACAATATCTTGAGCATGTATTTTATAACTTCATTTTAGAGCAATCAGAGAAAACATGATCACTTTCATTCTTGGTCGTATAACTGGGAATGTAGACTTATTTATTTAAAACACGAGAATACACTTTGCTTAAAAAGCATTAAAGTCGCTTGCATGGTTCAGAGAAATCAAAAGTCATGAAACCTAATTGATATCATATCAATTTTTAATTATTCCTGAAATAGGATGTTCATTATTGTATGTGAAAGACAGTAGTTTCAAAGCACAACACGGTTGCTACGTAGTCTTTTAGTTTATTTATATTTTCATAGGATATGGGCATCACTGACAAGGCCTGTGTCTGTTGTTTATCCCTAACTGCCTTTGAACGTTTTTTTCAGATGACAGTTTGGAACCAATGTGAACCATACAGCTGTGGGCCTGAAGTCACATGTTGCACAAACTGGGGATGGATGGTAAATTCAACTTCCCTGAAACAAAAAGTTAGTAAACTAGATTGTTTATCGGTTATAGTAATGGCATCCATGAAACTGAGACGAGCTTTATAATCCAACTTTATTAATGTTGCTCAGGACATTAACCTATTCATCTGGCTTGCTAGTCCAATAACACTACCACTATGCCACCATCTCCCCATAGAAGTATTATTGCTAATGTATATCAAAAGTGAAAATAAGCAAGAATTGCCAAACCAGGTTTCATTCAGAATTAGTGCTGATAATGCATACAGCTTGCTTTCTATCACAAGTCATATTCATGATCATGCTGAAATGATACCGCTATACTGTCTTTGTTTGAATTTAGAAATTTCACTGTCGTAAATATAATTAGTAACAGCAATGCTCATAAAGGCTATTTAAGAGACTAATCTAATTCAGCAGTTTTTTCTTTCATGGATAACAATTAGAAACTAACACTGGGAATATGAAAGTGGCAACTGATGAACAATGTTCCTGGGATACGGAGGGTAGGACGCAAAGGGATAGAGGAAAAAGGCAAGCAGAGTGGAAAATTTCTTCTTCCTGTTTACCATCTAGCAATATTGCGGTAGCTACTGACAACAAAACAATCACAATTAAAAAGAATGCTGACACTTGTCAACAAGTCTCACTATATTAGATAATGATCAGTGTTCACATAATTCCAATGTAATCACAATATTTCAGAGGGCAAGGGGCAAAACAAATTAAGAGTGAATATTGAGGACAACAAGGTGCAGAGCTGGATGAACACAGCAGGCCAAGCAGCATCACAGGAGCAAAAAGGCTGACGTTTCGGGCCTAGACCCTTCATCATTATTTTTTTTCTTAGCCAATGGATATTCTTGCACTCTAACAGTCCCAGATCCTTCAAGGTAGAAGAGTGGGGCATGGCCATGAAGTGACAGAAAAGAGGGTTCCAAATAACTTTGATATTCTGCCTTAAGTTTAAAAGACTTTTAAATTGATGTGAGAAATTATAAATCTGTACCTTGATAGATAACAGCGCCTTAAGAAGTGGTCCATACAGAATGATTTGTGAATCGGGAGACATTTCTAGCTCAACATGTAGTTTATCGGGTGCAAGTTCGGATGGATCGATACGCTGTCGTTGTGAAACTGAAGGAGAATGCAAAGTTCGTTCAGAGGACTTCTGTGATGCCCTTGATGTCAACTGCTGCATTTCAAATACTTTAAAAAGAAAGAATGTACGTTTTAAAAAAAAAAAAAGTATTTTCTAACACAGAAATAGGTTAACTGCTGAAACTAAGCTTAAATTTAAGGACAGATAACCTCAGTTACCATACTGACTTCAATAATTTCTAAAATTCCACTAACTTCATTAAACAACTTGCAATATGTTGCATGATACTTATTAAAAATAAGTTGAAGCCACTTCTATTAATGAAAGTGTGCCACAGTATGCTGAAATACAGAAAAAAGTCTTTTGGCTTATGTCTGTTCGGACAACATTATTTTCAGAAACCACTTTGTCCAGTCCCACTCTCCCGTTTTCTCACTATTATCTTCAATAGTCCTCTTTAATAAGCGTATAATTGTGTTTTTAAAAAAAAAAATCAGTAGGGCTTTATTGAAATTATTGGAATAGAAAAATTCACATTTTAACAACCTGTTGTGAAGAGCATTTTTCTAATCCCCTTTTTATTTTATTTCATTATTTTATATTTTAACTTCTCATTGCAACCTCACTGACAGTGTGCACTAATTAGGCCACATCTAGAGTACTATGAGCAACTCCAGACATAAAACCTTGAGAATATACTGTCCTGCAAAATAGGCTTGCTCATTTAGCTACAAGGATAGAACACAGAACATAGAATTGTACAGCACATAAATGGACCCTTCGGTCCACAATGTTGTGCTGAACATGATGCCAAATTAAACTAACCCCTTCTGGCTGCTTTTGCTCCATAACCCTCCTTTCCTGCATATTTATGTGCTTATCTAAAAGTTTCTTAAACACCCCTATCGTATCCGACTCCAACATCACCCTTGGCAGCGTGTTCCACAATCCTACCACACACTGTAAAAAAACTTGTGCCTCATTATTCCTTTGAGCTTTTCCCCTCTCACCTTAAATGCATGCCCCCTAGTTTACGACATTTCAATTCTGGGAAAAAGATTCTGACCGTCAACCCTATCTATGCATTTCATAATCTTACTGACTTCTATCAAGTCTCTTCTCAGCCTCCGCTGCTCCAGAGAAAACAACCTGAGTTTTTCTCGTCTCTTCCTATAGTTTATATACTATAATCCAGGCAGCATCCTGGTAAACCTCTTTTGCACCCTCTCCAAAGCCTCCACATCCTTCTTGTAATGTGGCAACCAGAATTGAGCATAGTACTCTAAGTGAGGCCTAACCAAAGAGTTATAAAGGTGCAACATGACATCCTGACTCTTGTACTCAATTCCCCAACCAATAAAGGCAAGTATGCCATATGCTATTTTCACCACCCTACTCCCACGGCCACTTTCAGGGAGTTATGGACTTGAACCCCAAGACCCCGCTGTACATCAGTGCTGTTCAGGGTTCTGCTATTAACTGTATACTTTGCCTTAACATTTGATCTCCCAAAGTACAGCACTTCACACTTACCCAGATTAAACGCCCATCTGCCATTTCTCCACACATATCTGCAACTGATCTATACCCCACTGTATCCTTTGACAACTTTCTACACTATCCACAGCTCCACTGATCTTTGTACCATCTGTAAGCTTACTAACCTACCCTCTACATTTTCATCCAAGTCATTTATATAAATATGTGTCAAACAGCAGAGATACTAGTACAAATCCCTGCGGAGCATCACAAGTCGTAGGCCTCCAGCCTGAAAAATATCCTTCCACCACTACCCTCTCCCTTCTATAGGCAAGCCTACTCTGAATCCACATGGCCAAGACACCATGGATTCTATGCAGCTTAATCTTCTGGATGAGCCTACCATGAGGGACCTTGTCATAAGCCTTACTAAAACCCATGTAGACAATATCCACGGCTCTACCCTCATTAATCACCTTCGTCACCTCCTCGAAAAATTCAATTAAGTTAGTAAGACATGATAGGCCCTGCACAAAGCATGCTGCACACTAATCTCACTATCGTCCATATCCTTCTCCTGGGTGAATATCAATGCAAAGAGAGAGTAAATAAACTGGGATTTTATTCCCTGGAAAATAAAAAGTTTAATGCTTTTATCAATACAAGCTTTAAGACATTATAGGGAATAAATGGGGTCGATTTAGTCTGCAATTTTAGGACTAGGGAGCCCAGTCTATATTTTAGAGCCAGATCTTACTCATTGAATTAGGAAATATTTCATTAACCAAACTGTGGCAGAAATTTGGAGTTCTAGCTTCCTTAAACAGCGACTGATGCCACGTCAATTGTTATTTGTAAAACTAAGATTGATAGATTTTCATTAGCCAAAAGGTATTAAGGAATACAGAGGATAAAGAAATATAGAATGGAAGCAAGTATATGGTGTTCTGTCACAACAACCATGATTTCATTGAATGTTGGAGCAGACCTAAGGAGCCAAATAGCTTACCCCTGTTCTAAGTGGGAACAATTTACTATTATACACATCATTGGGGATTTGAAGATTATGCAAGACTATTATGATGCCATATCTTAATCTTCTGGGATCTATTGTACAAAGGTTAACTTCAAAACTCTTTCATAAATTACTCCCTCCAAATTGTCCAAGTTGGTCTTTACGCTCCCTTCAGCGTCTTCCTGCACTTCCTCATTTAACTAATTGCTCTACTCCTTCAACCCTCATATGTCTGCATAACTGCCCCTAAATAAGTCCACGCTACTTATTTAGACCACTCCCAGTTGTAGTACATGGTGGCTCAGTGATTAGCACTGCTGCCTCATAGCAGCAGGGACCAGGGTTCAATTCCAGCCTCAGGCGACTGTCAATGCATAATTTGCACATTCTCCCTGTGTCTACATGGGTGTCCTCCAGGTGCTCCAGCTTCCTCCCACAGTCCAAAGATGTGCAGGTTCGGTGGATTGGCCATGCTAAATTGCCCAAAAAGTGTCTAGGGTGGGAAATGCAGGGATAGGATAGGGGACGGGTCTGGGAGAGGTGCTGATCGGTGTGGTCTCAATGGACTGAATGGCCTGCTTCCATACTATAGGGATTCTATGGAGTTCTATATGCTATTTGGGTAAAGAAGTTTCTTTGAATTCCGTAATCAATTTCTTGCTAAGTTATCTTAACAGACTCTAGTTTGACTCTTCCCCACAAGTGGAAAATTTCTTTGCATCAACTCTATTGAAACATTTGATCATTTTAAAGGTCTCTATTAGATCATCCTTCAGCCTTCTCTTTTTAAGAGAAAGCCGACACAAGCTATTCATCTTTGCTTGATGAGCATAACCTCTCAGCTCTGGCAACAACAAAATAATTCTCTCCAAAGCATTTATATCCTGTCACCTGGTTCTGCATTCTCTGATCATATTATTTAATTCACAGTGTCTTATCAAAAAATGTTTGACAATCCAGATACATATTTAATTACAGATATAGTAGGAACTGCAGATGCTGGAGAATCCGA